TACTTACGTTCTTTTATGCGATTACGATCTCTCACTTCAGCTTGGAACGCACGAGTCAGCGCGAAACTATGAAGCTGCCGAAGAAAACAATTGGTTTACGAAAGATCCGCGAAAAGCGTATCGATTTCGCATAATCGAAAAACTTTTGAAGTCATCCTTATTAACTGATGATAATTTGAACTTTTTCTGGTAAAGTAACTTACCGACTAATGGTAATTACCCTTTAGAACTTGTATATACAGGGTGTCCGGGATCTTTTGGAAAGGAAAAATTGTGAAGATTAATCAGATTGACTTAAGAAGAAAAGTCAAGTACCATGCAAAAGTCGCAATAGTTATTAAGTTATTAATGATTGAAAATGACCATAAATAGCCGGAAGTAATTGCCTTTAAATTTTCAGAATCTAGTGTTTTTTCTATGAACTTTCAGAGTTACTTTTGGTAAATTTTTTTATATACATGCACACACAAAATTGTTGCAGTTTTGTTGATCGCTCGCTGTTGACAAAATTTTGCATTTCGAATTTCCCCGTCTAATCATCGGCGTGTGTGTAGCCATACACCACATAAAGTTGAAAAACCTTGTTGCAATGCTGCAATGTTGCTGCAACGTTGCAGAAATATTGCTGCGACATCTGTGCTGCATGGGTACTTTTATTCGGTGCAATCAGATTGCAGCTTGTGCGAGAATTTGAGTAACTGACCTTGAGATTTGATTCTTCAACAAATACGTACACGCAAATGCCTAAGAGGGAGAACGGTCGTACAGCGTATACTCTTTTTATTTTTTTGTCATTCATTTACATACAAATATTCTCAAGATACGTCTTACGAAACGAAGTAGTGGCCTTATTCGGTGCCCGCTTTCTCGCGCTCTCATTACAATTGAAAGGAAACGTCTCTCGCGATACAAATTAGTTTCATTCTTCTCACTCTTTCTCTCCCTCTCTCTCTCTCTCTCTCTCCCCTTCTCTTCCTCGCTCTATTTCGGTCTCTTAAAATTATTATCAACTGCGCAGTGTCCTTGAACTTGTTTCCACTCGCCAGAAAGCAGTCTGTTCACAGCTCCTTCGGTACTTTACACGTTCGGCTCGCGATTTAGTGTTCCTGAGGAGCGAAGTGTACGGGAAAATGCGTGCGAACTGAAATCCGACATCTCGGGAAACTGATAAGAGTGCGCTCGTCCTGGCGCGAAGTCGAAGCAACGCGGAAAAATAATGCCGTCGCCCGCTTTCTCAGCACCGAACAAGATCGATGTACCTGTCACAACAAATGGATCAACAACGGTTAGCGAGTATATCACAAGACGTCGCGGAACTTGACGCTTCAGTCGCATTCAACCGCCGAAGCGTCTTCAACTTCTAAGCGACTCGAGTCGACAGCGAGCAATCCAGTCGGCTCGCTCGAGTAATCAGAAAAGTCTCGTGCTCGCGCGAAGTCGCAAGTCTCGAGCTGTTGGCTTCGCGGAAATTCTGCATCCAAGCTCGATCGTTGAGGGAGCTGCGGGTTCTAAGGACATCCTGCCTACGCGTATCGCCTCGCAACAAGAGGTCATACACGTCTCCTGAGAGAGGACTTGAGAAAAAGATTCGCGAGAACGCAAAGCGCTGAATGCAGATCGACAAGCTGCTCTTTCTCTCTCTCTCTCTCTCTCTCTCTCTCGCTTCCTCCCTCTTTAGTTCGCTCCCTTTCTCTCTCTCTCTCTCTCTCTCCACCGCCCGCGCGCTCGTGAGCTTGAAATCGGCGCAACACGCTGCCAGGAACCTTACATGAGAATAGTTTCGGGAGTTTGGCAGTCGATGGCTGTTGACAGACGCTGTCAGGATACAATTCGCACGGCCATTCAGCGCAATATATATATCACAATTCGAGGTAATGCTCGGCACCGGCGGCTTATGATTCTCGTCTACAGTGCGTCCTCGCTTGCACACTTCCAGCGGCGCTTTCGTTCGCCTGCTCAGTCAGAAGCATAACGTTGATTCGACGTTGAAATGGTCGATGAAACGGTCGAATCAACGTTAATTCAACTCTCATCGACGTCGAATCAACTCATACAGCACAAAAAGTGGCAGCAACATTGCTGCAATGTTGCACCAATGTCGCAATATTACAACAATGTTGCAGCAATGTTGCTGCAACTTTTATGCTGTATGGGAACGTTGTGCTTCTGATTGGGTTCGAAGCTCGACGTTGCTGCGCTGGTCTAAGGGAGAAGCGCGCTTCGGGCGTCACCAGGTCGCAGGCTCCTCGAGCTCGACCTGGTGACCTCGCTGCGAGCACGCACGGGGGATCGTCTTCGCGCGCGGACCCAAGGACCCTTAGGCTCATGGCACATACAAGAACGTAAGCAGTGAGGCATGCAGGCAGTGAGTAAATTCGCCGGCCATCGATCATCCTCGGACGATGTTGAGGCTCCTGGGGGCCTATCGCGGTTTTCGGGTGAATTTACTAGTTTTTCACGTCACCATTCTGGGTGACATTGATCATCCAATTGCGAAACTGTCGAGTGGAAATGTGACGTGACCAGACATTTCCGGTTACAGTGATGTCACATTTTCGCCAGGGCCGCTAACTTCGGACGTTTCCGTGTCGGAAACGAACGCAGCCGATAACGCAAGTAAAGGTTAAGATTACAAAAAATTCGTGAACAAAGAGAAGTTACGCATCATCTAGGAAACGTGCGTTGCTAACCACTTATCTCGTGGTGGTCAATATCTTAAGCTAACCTATACAGTACTGAAAGTTGTAGCATCATTGCTGAAACGTTGCAACAATGTTACAATGTTGCAGCAATGTTGCTGCAACTTTTGCACTGTATGGGAACTATTAAAAGAAGAAAACAAAAATAAATAAAATGAGCACTACAGAAAGAAGAAACAGAAAAGAATATTATCAAGTTATTATTGATTAATATTATTATTATTAAATTATCCATTGTGTGGAAACAGTTCCTCCTCATCACTGTTCCATTCTTTTCGACTGCACTGCTGCACCGGTGCAACAAATTGGAGCGTAGACAAATATATTTTGTTGTCACTTCACCTTTCCACACGAAATTCCCCGTTGAGTTTGCTCGCGTAAGTAATTTTATATTTTCACGAGGTGAGATCGACTGTAATTGGGTGATCTGCTCGTTCTTGCCTAATCGGAGAATCGTAATAGACCCCCTTGGTCCTTTTCACCGTGGAACTCTCGGCCCGTGACGTCGGAGGCAAGGAAATCCATGCTGAAATTCTTACGGATTCCCCGATAGAAAAGTGTTACTGATTGTAAAAAATTGATAAATTATTGTCGCTCAGTAATTTTCTTACTCATACGAGTACTAAAGTTACTACGCAACATTTATCACTAGCCAATTTACTACAGCCAGCAATGCTCTTCAAGGGTTATGTCGGAAGAAAGGGTCGGAAGAATAAATCTATAAAGTGATACTTGCGATCGATCGAATAGCTTTCCAAAAGGCTACGGGAACTCGTCTTTCGCTCCAGCAAACAATAAATGACCGTGAAGTTAACAGAGAATATGTGAGCCTCTTCAGGCTACCTTTTCTCAAGACTGTCCATTTATCGACCGCTTCGACGAAAGAGAAGTTCTCAGAGCATCTTAGAAATGTGAATCAAATAGAAATCAATTGATCGCGAGTGCCACTTCATGGATGTATCTTTCTATTTCGATGCAATCGACGTAGAAGCTTTTAGACTTCTTCGCCTCCGACGACATATCATCCAAGATGGCTACGGCGAAGAAACAGAGTCCCAAGAGACCCTTGGTTCCTTGCCGCGGAATTCTTGATTGGTGACGCGTCAGAAGCGTGAAAACGCATGCCCGAAATTCTTGCGTGCCATTTCCGAGCGAAGGAATCGCTTCAGGTCGCTGGAACGTATTTACGAAGCGCTGTGCTTCTGCTTTGAGGATCAGTCAACAGCCGTGAAATGACCGTAACTTGAGGTTAGTCGCGAGGAATGACTGCGCATGCGCATAAATAGGCCTCATATTGCAGTCATTCACTACCCAGTCAGAACCATAATGTTGATTCGAGGTTGATTTGACATTGAAATGGTCGCTGAACCGTTGAATCAACGTTAATTCAACCTTCATCGACGTCGAATCAACCTTGAATCAACGTTGTGGTTCTGACTGGGTGGCTGCTGATTAACCATCACTCATTGCCAGTCGCGCCGCCAGCGTTCACGCTCCTCGCGAACTGAAAGTCCGCGACGACAAATGTATCTGGCTCTTCGTTCGATTCCACGTGAAACGTAAGTCTACGATAGTTGTGCGATGAGCCTTTAGCCGTTCGCTCAAAGTCCTAACAGCAATTTCTGCGGAGAGAAACTTTTCTCCACGCCATACCTCGACGGAGCTGGAACCTGACGGGCTCCCTGAGAGCTCGACAATTGCCACTTCGACGGGGCATCGACGAAAAATGCCTTCAGCCGAAAATTGAGCCACCGTTCTGAGCTTGGAGCGAACAGCTAAAAGGCTCGCTACATCTGTTGTGCATCACGACTAACTTGTTGAGGTCTCCCCTCGAGGAGGGAGCCGGCTCGAAGTACGCGACGAAAGTTTCATCGCGTTGGCATGCAGAGATGCGTGCAAGTGGGACACTCGGTGCATTAAAGGGGGAAGGGCCGGGAGAGGCAGGGGGCAGAATAGGACAGAAAGAGGAAAAGTGCAGGTAAGAAGCAGGCGACGATAAGAGAACGAGCCGAAATTACGACCGGAGGGCCACTCGTAGAGGACCTCGGTCTTTACATTTTCTCTCTCTCTCTCTCCCTCCCTTGCTTTCTCTCTCTCTCTCTCTCTCTCTCTCTCTCTCTCTCTCTCTCTCTCTCTCTCTCTCTCTCTCTCTCTCTCTCTCTCTCGCATACATACAGCAAACACAACATATTCCTCGCACGAACGTGTTATCGTGTGATATCGGTGTCGCTTGAGAAATTATATTTAAATAAAGTAAAGGAAATAAAAAAGTAAGGCGGACTAAAAAATAAATACATATCGTATAGCAAGATTATCCACACACCAGATAAGTTTATATGTACAAGGATGAAGTGTAAAAAATGCGTCATGAAAAGGCTGAGGGCGGAGGGGGGGAAGGAACGCCCCGACAGATAAAAAAGAAATGAAGCGTATATATATTAAAAAGACAATCGTGTTTGTGTGTGTGTGTGTGTGTGTCGGTGCGCGCATACGCGAAAATGCGCAGCCAGCGCCGCTCGCCATCGCGGCGCGCAGGATAAACGTGGAAACACTCCGCACACGTGCGCTCGAGTACGCGCCAAGTTATTATAGCCGGCACTTAGGCGTGAAACGAACGTAAGGAAACCGATCGACAGGAGATCGAGTCGTTGTCCAAGTGAAAAGGCGGCACATCCGGTCTTGACACGGCTCGTCCGCGTTCGCCAGCCGATATGCCCGGCGGGGAACCGCCGGAAGTCCAAAGTTCCCTCATTGGACCACGGAACTGCGTCGGCAAGAGACGGAAAGGTGTCCAAACCGTCTCAAAACCACGTGTGCCTTTCGCAACAAACACCAACCGACTTCCATACGGCGCAAAAGTTGCAGAAATATTGCTGCAATATTGCAAGTTTGCAGCAACGCTGCATGGGCTGTAACATTGCATCGATATAACAGATCGCCACTTAGCGCAACGTGTGACGCTACAAATAATCGCGCGTGGCGATTGTACTGTTGAGCGGGAAGTTGCAACGTTGTCGCAACGCTATCGTCAGCTGGTGTTTATCGAGCCACCTGCGAAACGCTTTTTTTCCCGACGCACTTCAAGGTGTGCCGACGGAAGAAATCGTCTCCCAGTGATTCTCACAAGACCTATACAGTACAAAAGTTGCAGCAACATTGCCGCAACATTGCAGCAATGTTGCTGCAACTTTTGTGCTGTATGGGGACAGTCACTCCCTCATTGTCCCTCGGCTGCGCGTCGAAGTGCGTCGGGAGAGAGAGAAACAAACAAACGTCGAATATACATCGCCTCCCCTCGCTCTCCGCTCACTCTAACGACCCGACTAGAAGACGATCTTTTTCTCTCTCTCTCTCTCTCTCTTTCTTTCTTCTTGCTCGCTCGCTCGTTCTCTCGTCTAGTCTTTCGACAGCGAATTTCTCATAAAACGGTTATATCAAGGTATCTTACGATTACGCTTATCATAGCGCGCGCGGCAAAGCGTCGCGCGATAAAAAGCCCCGTGATAAAAATTCAGCCTTCGACGAAAGCCACGCGAGTCGGCAAGTTCCGCACACGTACCGGACATTGACGGAACGCTCGGAAAGTCCGGGAAATCCGGCGGACGCGCGTTGTCTCGAAGTAGAGGAGCGGACGGAGACTCAAAAGCCGAGGCGATTCCCGGGGGAAGTCGCAATGCCAAGATCGAGCGCGTCTTGTTTCGCCTGAGACGGAAAGTCCGTCTCGCCCGGCCAAGACGCGTTCTCGACTTGTCCGTTGTTAAAGTCCTCGGGGCGATAGTCTTCGGAGTGAGACGTAGCTCCTCCTCGGGGCGACTGCGAGCCTCGGGACCTCCTAATAATTCTCACAAAACCCATAGGTACAAAAGTTACAGCAACATTGCCGCAATGTTACTGCAACTTTTGTGCTATATGGAGATAATCACTCTCTCATTGTCCTGCGGCTTCCGGTCGCCCCGCTTTCGGAACCTCGAGTCTTTGAGTTTCCGGGACAATGCGCGTCCACCAACGGCCTTGAACAGAAGGAGAAAGCAAACCGCTACTCTACTGTTACAAGTCATCGTCGCTATTCCGCTACCGCTACTGCTACGTAAACTGATCACTCGCACGTCAATCTTCCTCGTCAATCTTCTGTTCTGCCGGCCGGGGAGCAGACGGGCGCTCGGCTGCGGAAACAGGAAGTTTCCCGCGGAGGGTTTCCGTTACTCAGTCAATTGTCCTCGGTTACTTCAGCCGAACCTTCTCAGACGAATGTTTCAGTCGCAGCAACGGGGAGATCCTTCCTCGGCAGCGAGTTCCCGTCTGGCCCGCGGCGGACAGACTTTCCTCCCTTGCGTACAAGAAAAAAGAAGACATTATCCTCTGTGCTCGATAAGGAATATCGATTGCGAGGCGGAGAGAAGAACGAAGGATTATCATCGACACTACGAGTCATATACCGACTCGCTCGGACAATTTTCCAAGGGACGATCTTCAATGACTGGTACGGTGTCTCTCGCGTTTCTGTCGTTTTCTCTTCTTTCTCTTTTTATTCTTCGCGAAGTGTTAGCTTAATAGTAGCGGTCGCTCGCGACCGTAATTGCGAAAATTGCGTCAGAACGTTAAAATTACTTGGCGCCCGAGAACTTCTTGCCGATCGCGGCCGATACTCGTATGCGTCGAGAGCGTGAAAGTATAAATATAGCCTCGATGATACCAAAAAAAAAAAATATAATAAACTACGTATCGTACGGGTGTTCAGCGGCCCTACAGGTGCACGCGCGCGAGAGAGCGAATTGCCCAAACAAACGAAAATGCTCGCCAGAAGTAAGCTGTGAGAGGAGAAGCCGTACACGCTAATTAAATGGAAAGCCACGAAGGTGCGAGCAACGCGGAGAAGAATGCCGACGGCTCTCTCGGGAGGAGAGATATCGCCCGGTCAATACAGCCAGAAAAAAAAGAAATAAAATAAAAAACAGACAGATATGTACGCTTCGATGTACACGACGGCGGTTTCGCGAGTTCGGAGGACTGTAGACGAAGCGTGTGTGTTACCAATCGGACGTGCGCTCCGGATACTCGACGAATTCGTCAGGCCACATCGGGAATGAATCGAGAAACGCGCGCGGGGATTCCTTAATTAACTACTCGTTGCAGGCGCGAGCGCGCGCCGTTGCTCGGGAGAATTTCACAATCAACGATCGTGGCATCCGTCGTCTCTGGTCGTTATTGCTATTTACAACGTTGCGTGTTCAACTTGCTAGAGTAGACTAGCGCAGTATCGGCTGAGGAGGGAACGGGGTGTTTCTGGAATGTCATTCGCCTGTTACATTTTCATACAGAGAGATCGATTCGTGCGTTGCTGCAACACAGATCGACAACGCAAGCTTTGCATAAATAATCGACGGCAGCGTGTGTGTGTGTGTGTGTGTGTGTGTGTGTGGTGTGTGTGTGTGTGTGTGTGTGTGTCCGTGTGTGTGACGCACGTGCACGCGCGTCGTGTGCAGATTCGTCGACGAAAGTTAAGGGGGAACAAAACGTGTGCAGGACGTTTAATATAATACGAACGCTGAGGAGAACACATGCCACGACATTTGACGAAAAGGTTTCCGCACGAATTCCTTCTACAACGGTGAGATCATCCTTACGGTGTGTGTTGTAAAAAATGCCTCGGCATACAAGAGAAGTCTTAGAAACCCTGCCTGACCATATGCGTTAAAAAATATATATGTACGACGTACGTAACTTCGACGTTGAAATCATTGAGTTTCCCGCGGGTATTCAAATAATCGTCTTTGCGCCGCGAGGCGCGTAACGTTCAACAATCAGGAAAACTTTCTCGTCCCGGCCCTGATTCTCTCAATATCGACCGTCTCGCGCTTTGTGAGGCGTCTCGCTCGTCTCCGGCCATGACTATAAACGAGCGCGTCCCCAAACATGAATATTAGCGTAGATATTTATGCGTGTGTGTGTGTCTGTGTGTGTAGATCGATATAATTTATATTATAAATAGTACACCATTTTTTTGGTCTTTATCGATATCCCTTTAAAATCTACGAAGCGATATAGTAGTATCTCATTGTGCGTGTACTTACATTACGCTCTCGCCCGAGTGTCGCTCTCTATAACCTCTCTCTCCCTCTCCCTCTCCCTCTCTCTCTCTCTCACAATCCCTCTGTTCCTCGCTCCCTCTCTCTGCTCGGCGGCCGAGAGGCCGACCGAGAGAGGCTCTCCCCTCGTGATCCCTTGTGCGTGTACAAAAAAAAAAGAAAAGAAAAACGCCGAGAGACTTAACCGAGCCTCCCAGAAACCGAGCCGAACGAAACTCAACTGATTCAACGTTCCGTTACGATTGTTATTTGTGTAGCAAATAACGAAAGGATTACGGCCACTTAAGATGCTAAGTTAGATTAACGTACTTACACACACAAATGTCCGATATACATAAGTGTAACCACACACTACACATTCTCGCAAATATGTTGTAAAAACCTGTACGTGGGTCTCGATAACAACACCTCGATATCGAGCGATTTAGTCTCACAGAACTTCTCCTTCCCTTCTTCTCTTTTTCTTTCTTCAATTTTCTCTCCGCTCCTTCTTCTCTCTTCTCCTCCTTTTCGGGTCGCTGTCCCGTTCTTTTCGGCTTTGAGGTTAGCTCTGTCGTCCTTCCGTCTGTCTCTTCCTCGTGTCGTCTTCTTTATCTTTTGTTCAGTTCTGTCCTCACGGCTGGAAATGCAAGGACGTTTCGTGTAAGGCTCAAACTTCTGAGTCGGTCAAACTCGCGACAATGCGCATACATACCATCGATGATCTCCTGCTTCATCTTCTGGAACTCTTTGCGCACCTCCTTGATGATTTCCGCCTTGAAAGCCTCCATCTCTTGCGCAGTGAGCGAGGACCCATCGTTGACTCCGTTCACCTTGAGAAGGGTGTCCTCCGAGGCCGAGCCGAACCTCTTGCGCACCGACTTAGGGGACTCGGCGCCGTTGGAGAACTTGTTGTTAGACGAGTTGCTCTTGTCCCAGGACTTCTTGTCCGGAGAGCTCTCCGGCTCCTGAAACGGATCGTGGCATTCTTTGAGATATCCGACGCGTTTTCCTCTTCCGAAGCTTTGCGAACTAGGAGAGATTGTCAAAGCGCGACTTTTCTTCTTTTTTTTAACTCCTATTTACATTACAATCTATCCAATTATTTGGACATTCAGCAATCGATTTGAATGTAAAGAACATGCGCGAAGGGTTCCCAGTGGTTCCCTTCAATCGGCTTCTGGAATTAGTTGTCAGCTAGTAGGTCTACCGGTATTTTTTTCTTTAGTCTGCGAGTTAAGGTTTTTCTAGTCATAAAGTGGCTAACTAGTGGCTTGGGATGGTTTGAGATCCTCTCTTTGTAATTCTTTATCGATTTCGCAATCTCTTCCTTAACTGTGGGGATGTTCGGATCACGGTGCAGGATATCGTTTGGTATAAATCATTGTGCGTGTCTACTACAGTCCTCAGTGTTTTATTTTGAAATTATTTAAAAATAGTTATACGAGGCGGAACAATGACTGAAAATGGTTGAATTATATGGAACTCGAGTAGTACAAGCTAGAACTACCGTCAGAAGTGCAGTAAGTCGACGGCACGACATGTTTTCACCGAGTGTCGTGCTGGCGGCAAAAGTTAAAATTTATTTAAACATAGTTATATGGCGGAACAATGACTGAAAATGGTTGAATTGTATGGAACTCGAGCGGAACAAGCTAGAATTGCCGTCAGAAATGCATTAAACCGACAGCACATGTTCACCCGACCGAAGAACCACTGAAATTCGAGTAAGCACTCTACTCTTCGAGTACAATTTCTTCTCCGAAGATACTCAACGAGTCCGTCCATCGTCACTCACCGGTGGTTGCTCCGGCTGCTTCTTCTCAGCGGCGGCTCGTCGACGCGCCAGAGTCTTCGCCATCTCGTCCATCATGGAAGCCATTCCGCCGCCTCCTCCTCTGCCCAAAGTGCCATAATTGCCGCCGCCTCCGCTGCCGCTTCCGCTACTGCTGGTGCTCGAGCCGCTGTTCTCCACCGGCTGCGACTGTTGCTGTTGACGACACGAAACACACCGCGTATAGCAAGCGCACATCATCAAGCACAAAGCAGCCGAGGCGCGCGGGATTTACCTGCTTCTTCTTCAGACGAGCCTGCAGAGCGGCAGCCAACGAGTTGGTGTCCGGCGGAGGGTCGCTCGACGAGCTGGCTGCTGCCGCGCTGTTGGCGTTAGGCGCCGGCGGCGGCGGCGGCGGGGGCGGCGCGGCGGGCCCGGCCAACGGCACCATCGGAGGCGGAGGTGGGCCGCCTGCGGCGGCAGCGAGAGGAACGTAAGCGTTCGCACCGACCGTGTGGAGTCCGCTCGCGGCGTACTGGTTCACCGAGTTCGCCGGCGTCCCGTAGGGATTCGTGGTGGCGGCGGCGGCCACCTGCACCTGGCCGGCCGTGCCGGCGTACTGGGCCTGCGCCTGCGACACGATCGTGCCATACTGCGACTGGCCCGGCTGGGCGATCGCGTACTGACCCGCTGGCGGCGGCGGGACCGCCGCGTATTGACTTATCGAGCTATTGCTGCCGTACTGGTTACCGCCGCCGGCGTTTCCATACTGCGCGACCTGGTTACCGGCCGGTTGACTGTACTGGCTGACTTGGCCCACCTGTCCGCCGGCGGCGTAGTTGCTCGTCTGGTTGTTAGTGCCGTAGAAGTTGTTCTGGCTACCGCCGGTAGACGGGTACTGGCTCGGGCTTTGGCCCACGACGCTGTTCGCGACGGCGACGGCGACGGCGCCGCTACCGCTACCGCTGCCGCCGCCGCCGCCGCCACCGCTACTGCCGCCGCCGCCGCTACCGCCGCCGCCGCCGCCGCCGCCGCCGCTGCCACCGCCACTGCCGCCGCCGGCGGTGGTGGTGCTGGTATACTGGTTGCTCGCGGACGGCCCGACGTACTGGGCTGACTGGTTAGTGACGTAGATCGGTGGGCACTGGGCTTGGCCCGTCTGCGACGACGGCGACTGCACGTATTGGTTTATCATCATCGGCGGCGCCGGTATCGACGTGTTGAAGTTCATCATCGCCGGCGGACACGGTGGTGCGGGCGGTGCCACGGGTGGCTGGGGCGGCGGGATCGGTGGACCGACCCCGGCCGACATTTGCGGGGCAGCTGGCACCATGCCGCCGACAACACCTTGGATGCTCGGCAACGCCGGCTGCTGCTGCTGCGGCTGCGGTGCCGGCGGCGCCGAAGAGGTCCTGTGGTGGCCGGACTGTTGCTGTTGCTGTTGCTGCTGCTGCTGTTGTTGCTGTTGCTGCTGCGCTGGCGGGCAACTCGGCGAGATGGGGTTGGGACTGCCAGTTGCTGCGGAGCAGTTTTGTTAGGTTTTTATTCTGTTCGCTGTTATATTCGTTATCACGGGAAATGCCTTCCTTCTTGCACACTTCTTTGAACCTTGTCCATTTTGGGCCTCTCGTGAATGTTGAGAAATTTGAGTTCCGTCGCTCAAGAGGTTTCCTCGTCTCACGCGGTTGAGAACAATTTTTCACCTTAGCAATGTTCAGTCTCGAGGGGCCCAGGAGAAAAATGGACAGGGTTCTTTCTCCTCCAAGTGAAATCTCACTCGGAACGAGAGGACGATGACGAAAATATCGCCGCTCGGAATCGCAAGAGTGTGCAACATCTCGCTCGGGCTCAGAGCGGATTCCGATTCCGCGCGAGCGAGCGTTTCAGCGCATCAGGGTGAACTCGCCCCTGCGACCCGATGAAATATATCAGATGCACTCTTCAATTTCGAGCGGAGGTATTCACTAGACAATTCGTACGAGTGGTCGGTCGCTCTGCCTTGCCGAGTGAAATTCCGCCGCGGGAGTATCCGAGAGCGAGGTCTGACGCTGCGAGTGAACCTAGAGCGCATTGTAAAATTGTTCACCTTGACTCTGCTGGGACATTCTGCGCTCTTGGATTATCGCCACGTCTTCTCTGGTCATGGTCCTGCGCAGACGGAAATCGAAATTAGCCGTGGGAATGATGCGATGCAGAATGCATTGTTAGTGCAAAGCATAGAGTGAGACCAGCCAGCTAGACTAACGCAACGAACATACTAACGACCATCTATATGATCCTAGACACAAATTGCGCTAGAACTCGCTTTAACCACCTTAACGATGAGCTTGTCCTTCTTTTTGGATACTCGAGAGTGACCGCTAGGACGCAACATGCACCGACAAATCCATCCCAACTACGGAGGAGTGAATGTCCCAATTGCTGACCGAGAAGTCGTGAAGGTAAACAGATAAGTCATGCTGAATAAGGTACACGACATTAATTTTGTTGAACGTTTTAATCATCTTAATCGTCTTCCTTCACGGAAAGATCTCGATTTTTTTAGAACACCCACCCAGAAAAAAGTATTCTATTTGTAAAGTGATTTTTCTCATAGTCTCATAGCTTCTAAGCGAAGCCTTTTATACAGAAAAAGGATTCCTCTTTCGATAAAGCAATTAAAGTGAACCATTCGTCTAAAATTTATTGGATATTATTCTTTTATTGTTTTCCTCTTATTTCAAGAAGATTTCTTCTTATATCAATTAATTTTCCTTTTATATAAAGAAGAATATGTTAATTTGAATCTGGGCTTCTTTTGTTCAGTCATGTTCTACCTTCAGACATGAATAAAAAAACAATCATATGCTCATGGATCAGAATATTTGGAACGCTTTTTAAAAAAGATATGTGTATTACTGTAACACATATAACGAAGATAATTTACCCATATTTGGTCAAGTACAGTTTATAATCTATTGCAAGAAATTGAATGATATATTCTTTCTTTTAACTACGTTTCATACAATTGATTATGATGATCATCTTTGTAGCTACGAAGTCCATAACAAAACTGATTGGAAATTTGTTTGTTATGATGATCTTGTTTCACTCGTGCCTACTTATTGTAGAACTGGAGTCAGAAGTACGTCTGCAGATATATATTACTTTTCGCTACACCTTATAATAATTTTTTCAAATTAACTAATATGACTAATAAGAATAAAGTACAGTAAGAATAAATAATAATCATCTTAAAAATAGATTAAACGATCTGTATATAAGAGCAAATTTATATTAAAATCAATAAGATTTGCATTACACATATAACATATAATCCCTCTAACTTTAATATTATAATGTGTTTATAATATTCTTCTCTTAATCTCAGAAAAATCCTCTTGAGACCATATATAAGAATAAAATCTTCTGAAACTTAAATGATTCCAGCTGTGCTGAAATTACTTTTTTTTGTGTGAACATTTTCGCCATTCAGTACTGAAGAAGTTGGACAACTTGCGTTAACATATAAAATTCAGTCGTACGAGCCGACTTATTAAGGAAAATGGACGCATTGGGACATTCGGCTCATGCTTATTCTTTTCTACCTCGCTGTACATCCCTTGCTTACTGGAAACCGGGGCGCATCGTTAAAGTGTTTAAACGTTGACATCAGTTCGTATGCGAGCCAAGGAGCCAAAGAGAATATCAGACTGCGTGACACATATAAAGGTGCTCTCACGACGTCGTGCGCGCGTCAGTCGCGTGTGAATGACCATTATCGGCCAGATAACGTGGTCCGTTGAAGAAGGAGTTAATCGTTCCTCCCCGCGAGTTGAAGAGGCACGCAGCTGCGACGCGTAATCTTATTCCCCCCGCCCGAAATCTGTGTATTCAGGCCGCGTTGCTTGGCCGATAACGGGATATCGGGATCGATCGGGAGTGACTCTTGAATTTTGTACACGTCCACGAAAAGCTGCCGCTGGAAAAATGTCACCAGGGCGCGGGGCCGTCCGCGACGCATCCGCGGGTTATTTCGAGCGCCGCGCGCAGGGTGCAACAGACCGAGCGAATTCTCTCCTCGCCTGGTCGCGTCGTCCGATTTTATTTTCGACGCCGCGTAAATGTCTTTCCGCGGATCCCTCGCGCTCGCCGCCGCGATCTCTCGCACCGGCACGCGGCGGATTCGCGAGACTCTTCGACCGGAAGGCCAGCTGAAGGGGCTGAAGTGAGGAGGACCATCGGTTAGTAGCAGCAGTACACTACTAGAACCTCTAATTGGCGACAGTTCGGACCAACTACGATCCCCAAGTAGGCGGGGGATTAGATGGGGGGCAGGGCGGGGGGGTGGTTTATTCTAACACAGTTAAAGTGCCCGTAGCCCTCTGCTAAAAAGGGAGTCCAAAGAGAATCCTAGTGAAACGCACGGCCTTTAACCCGTATTAACCTGGCGACCTTGTTAAATTAATTATCTCTTTTCTCTCTCTCTCTCTCTCTCTCTCTCTCTCTCTCTTTTTCTCCTCCATCGTGCGCGTCGCAAACGTATCCCGTGAAAATGTATACACACGATACATGTAGTTTTCCTGCAAGATCAGATTTTCACGTACAATGTACGCAAAGTCGACGCATAATTTATTACACGTCTCGCCGCGGCCGCGCGCAAGATGGCGGCCGCGCGGCGCAGCGCGAGCGAAAGATGGAAAAGCGCTCGGCCATAATGAATTTAACGACGCCGGGTTACTAAGGGTTAAAGCCAGCCGGATGATCACCTCGTGCGTCCGTCGCCCGGTGAGCCACGCGGACAGCCCACCTGAACAGCGGCGCCGACTGCACCACTCGCAACGGTCGCATGGTGATCGGGGGTCGGGGTGGCGGAGCTCGCGGGCAGGGCCATCTGGCCTGTCCCCGTAGGCAGATGCCCCAGGGACAAGGAGATCCGCGCGCTACGACCTTGACTGCAATCACCCAGGACAGACGTGCGTGTGCGTGTCAGTGTGCGTGTGTTGACTCACTCTCGTCGGGCGGGGAACGGCGACGGCGAAATTTCAGGGGTCTCCGCGTCCCGCACCGTCCTCGTCCTCGTCCTCGTCGTCGTCCGGTCGCCCGTTTCTCAAAAGCTAGCCCGCGATCGCGAAGATCTCTTCGAAGAAGCGATACTTTTTTCCGCATTCACGAAGAAGAAACATTCTCTCTCTCCTTCTCTCTCTCTCTCTCTCTCTCTCTCTCTCTCTCTCTCTCTCTCTCTCTCTCTCTCTCTCTCTCTCATTCTTGCGTTCGCACGGAGTGAGAACAAGGTCGCCTACCCGGGAGCTGCGCTCGTCCGGAGCCACGGTGGCGAATCGACTCGGCGTTTACGTCGCCTCTCGTATCTCGTACGCGTATCGCATGACAGGAAATAATCGCCGCAACGAGATAATGATTGCGCGTAAATCGTTGGAAAGCGAAGAGAGACGGACGTGGACGGGCGTGCGACGGGAGTGCGAGACGTACCTGTATCCCATGTCCTCCTCGTACTGGGCGGTCGGCTGGCTCTGCTGCTGCTGCTGAGGCTGCTGCTGTGGCTGCTGTTGTTGCTGCTGTTGCTGTTGTTGTTGTTGTTGCTGTTGCTGCTGCTGCTGCTGCTGCTGCTGCTGCTGGTAGGCAGTCTGCTGCTGCTGGGTAGCCGTCGCGGCTGTCGGAGCGAGACTTCGTGATATGTTGCTGCTATTGCTCAGCACCTACGCGACGGACACGTGAGCGTGCAATTAGTAGCTAATTAACGATGACGAGGCCAATGATGAGAACGGACTCTAGTCCGGCGATTGTGAGCCGCTGTGAAATCGATGTCCCACGACAACGGCGCGGGCGGCGGTCGCGGGAGGGGGACTTGCCAGCGGATGTTCTTCTGGTCTTCTCTTCTGTTTTTCTTACTTGGCTTTTTTTCCTCGCCTCTGCTTAATAGCCGGCTCGTGGCGTCGTAACCCGTCGACTGGCGGAAACGCAACACTGCGTTTTGGCAGATTTCTGCCGGCTCGATATTTCTGAAACTGGCTGCTCCGAGGCTATTCGCGGCGATCTATTCGCTATTCAGCGGTGAAGTTGAAGATTCAAGGTAGCGGGTGTAAATCCAAAATTGGAAGAAATGTGTCTTGCAAAAACTTCGAAATGGTGCATCTTGGGCTTTCCAATGATGAATTTAGATAAAAATTCGAATTTTCAAACCGAGAAATGACTAAAATAAACGTTACCCACGTATTATATATTTTATCCTTATAAATATAATTTATAAATTGCATTTATTCACCCAAAAAAAAGTATTCTATTTGTATAGTGATTTTTCTCATAGTCTCATATTCTAAGCGAAGCCTTTTACAGAAAAAAGATTCCTCTTTCGATAAAGCGATTCAAATGAACCATTCATCTAAAATTCATTAGATATTATTCTAACTATTTTTTCACTCTTATTTCAAGAGGATTTCCTTTTGTATCAATTAATTTTTCTCTTGTATGAAGAGGAATATGTTGATTTGAATGTCGGCTTCTTTTTTGTTGAGATGTCCTCCAGACATGTACGAAAAAATAATCATATGCTCATGGGTTAGAATATTTGGAACGCTTTTTAAAAAAGGTGTATGTTATTGTGACACATATAACGAAGATAATTTACGCATATTCGGTCAAATATAGTTTATAATCTATTGCAAGAAACTGAATAATATATTCTTTCTTTTAACTACGTTTCATACAATTGGTTATGATGAACATCTTTGTAGCTACGAAGTCCATAACAAAACTGATTGGAAATTTGTTTGTTATGATGATCTTGTTTCATTTGTGTCTTATTGTAGAACTGGAGCCAGAAGTACATCTATATATTTATTACTTTTCGCTATACGTTATAATAATTTTTTCAAATTAACTAGTATAACCAGTTAGAATAAAGTACAGTAAGAATAAATAATAATCCTCTTAAAAAAAGATTAAATAATCTGTATATGAAAGGAAATTTATATTAAAATCAATAAGATTTACATTAGACATATAACATATAATCCCTCTAACTATAAGAATAAAATTCTCTAAAATTTAGATGATGCCGCTTGTTCTGAAATTACTTTTTTTTGGGTATTCATTGTTTTATTACTTTATAGGTTTTTGATAAAAATTTTGTATAACTTCACTATTTAATTCTTTTTTTTTTTTTTTTGGTAATACGTGTCTGGCTTTATTCTGATGAAATAAAATTTTGATTTCAGCTGCCATATTCACCATGTTGAATCCGAACAATTTTGACTTTGTGTTCGTAAAGTGATCTCAAAGATCCTGAGACGCAGAATTTTAATGACGCTGCTTAACTCTTGAGAATCCACCTTTTGCCAGCTGAAATACCTGTGTGAAACTCAGCTCGCCAGTCGAGGGGTTACATGAACTCTCGTTAGGGAAAGTTTCATCTCTACCGATGATGGAAGTTGCGCGACGACGATCCCGAATTATGGGAGCTGCGTTGGAACGACGAGAGCGCAATTTGTCCTTGCATCGCTCGTTTTGCAATTCTACCGACTTATCTTAATCGATCTCGGTCGGTTGAGGTAAGTCAAAAAGATCACCCGAAGCTCTTCAACTTTTACAGCATATATTAAGATCCAAGAAACCTCGGAGATGTGCAACCTCCGTTACATAATTACCCGGAGCAATTAAAATATAACCAGCAATTGATCGCATCCTTGTTGAATCTTTTATCGATATCAAGAAGCCCATCGTGCGCTTCTCGGCGTCAATTGTGTGCAATTAATTAATTACGAATATTAATTATGTGAAGAAGTGGGAGAGAGAGAGAGAGAGAGAGAGAGAGAGAGAGAGAGAGAGAGAGAGAGAGAGAGAGAGAGAGAGAGAGAGAGAGAGAGAGAGAGAGAGAGAGAGAGAGAGAGAGAGAGAGAGGAGGAGGGAGAGGGATCCTCTCTGCAATGAGAAGCCAATTATAATTGAATGGGTCGAGGAGCTGAGACTTACGTCGAGTGCCTGAAGCATCGCCCTGGCGAAGGCATCGGCGTCGTCCTTACTGGAAAAGTTGAGCCCGTACACCTGCTTGTTGTCTCTCCATTGGTGGAACGTGACCGTCGCCTGATTGTACTTGAGCCCCTTCAGGATCGCACAGTTGATGACGATCTCGTGGTCCTGCAGCTTCCTGCCGACCACGCGGAACGTGTTGTTCACTTGATGGTGGTACAGCTGGACCTTCGAGAGACCGGACGAGCTGCCGCTCGGTATCCATTTCTTGTTCACGTCGTCGTACACCATCACCGACGCGCGGGCGGATGATATGCTCACTTCGCTGAAACGGCAAAATACGTTTTTGCCTCTCATCATCAATTGACTTGTTCGATACCGTGCGCTTCATTGCGCGGCTTCTTCTTCATTCTCGTCGTCTCGTACTACGCTACGTCGAGAATCAAGAAAAACCGTCGGACGAAACATTCTTCAAATCACTTTATCCCTGAGCGAGACAAAAATTGCGTAAATAATGCATACGTAAAGTCCGAATTTTCGCCGGATTAAATTTCTCGCATTTCTGAGCGATGAATATTTAAAATATTAGGAGTGTGATTTAGTTTGGAGGATTTTGCAAGAGACGGCACTAATGTCAGTTTTGTCGAAGACATTCCAATTCCACACAGCTATTGTTTCTCAATGCCTTAAATATTGATCCATTATATTTAGTTATTTGCATTTCCATTATTTTAGTTAATAATAGTAGACGCAGTAAAAATCGTGTTAATGCCATCTTAAAAGTGGAACTTTCTAAAGAGTATCATCGACATGCGTCGCTTTTGTTTTTTCATTAGAAGAAAACGGCGGTTGAAGGTCATAGAATTCTGATAGAAACTTGTGGTAATGTTGCTCCATCAATTAAGACAAGCGAATGTTGCTTTAGACGATTCAAAAGTGATGATTTCAATGTTAACGACAAAAATTGCTCGGGACAAGCAAAAAAGCTTGAAAATGCAGATTTGCAAATATCGTTGGACGAAAATCCAGCCCAATCCACCTCGGAACTTGCTGGAGGATTAAATGCTGATCGTACAACAGTTACTAAACGTCCACATGATATGGGAAAGATTCACAAAGAAGGAAAATGAGTTCCATATGAATTATCGGAAAATGCCATTGCGAACCGCTTGAACATTTGCGTTCCGTTGATCGCCAAACAAAAATGAAATTTTTTGTATCAGATTGTTACTGGGGATAAAAAATGAATTTATCTCAATAATCCCAAACAAAAAGAATCACGGGTTGATCCAGGCCAAGCCTGGAAAGAAAAAAAAATTTTTTAATTTGGGAATTGGAAAAATTGGAAAATTTGGGAAAAAATTGTAGAAAACGGAGAAAAATATTTTGACCTGAGTATTCGTTCATCGTCTTGTTTAAGTAAATCAATCTTTGAGAAAAAGAAAACCCCAAAAACTCCTAAATCACACTCCCAATATTTTCCTTGACGAAAACGTCGAGGGCGGCCATTATTTTCGCAGTGACTTTCCAATTTTCAACATGACACATCCGTGAAAGCAAACCATGAACAAAAATTCCATCGGGATAAAGTCGGATTTCCGTTCGAAGAAAATAGTCTCGTCATTTCGTTCATTATCTTGTTCAAGTAAATCAGTTTTTGAGAAAAAAACTCTCTCAAGACTAAACCACGCTCCTAATGAAAACGTACGAGGCGGACGCGGACGAAAACACGGGTGAAATTTTGGAGCTCGTTGTTGAAGAGCTAATGAAGATCGATCGTACTCTTCTCTCTGTTGGACGAAATGAGCAGCGCAGTCGAGCGAATGTTGCAATAACCTGGCCGAGTCGTGGGCGGTATACACCGGTATCGCTTTTTATTTCCTCCGCTCGTTCGAGAAAGTCGCATAACCAAAGCAGAAAGGCGAGCGACGAATTGATAGACTCCGCGATTTCCCCGACCTTTCCGATATGCACCTCCCCGACGTTTCTAAATTCCATCAACCGAGCTGTCTCGCGCAAACAACGCGCAAGACCGCGCACGCAGGAGCGGCGGCAGTTCAAAGGCGCAAACAATCTCGGAAATGTCCTTGAAATGGACGTCCATCCGCCAGAGCCAGTGGAGGAAAAGCTGCAGCACTTTCTTACCCGATCGGCAGGACTCGTCTATCAGAAATTCCAGAGATAATACAAGATCACGAAGATAGAGTGATCGATCACAATCCGGAAGATAAACTCTCTCAGACTTATTTTCGACGAGTCTCGCAGCAATCTGCATCCAACGGCGCTTCAGGCGCTCGCAGGCGAGGCAAAATCATTCGAAAAACGAGCGATCCGCTCGCAAGAGATCAATCTTCTCGCCCGACTCGTTAAACGATCGATTTTTTCCTCCCCGATCGGCAGATAAATATCGAAGGTAAACTTTTCTGTTGCTGGATATACCGGACGCGCGTCCAAGTTTATCCAGGCAAGAGTGCCGCAACCTCACCTCCGCTGACTGCTCCTCAGACGCACATCCTTGGATCCTCGATCTCTCTCCCTCTCTCTCTCTCTCTCTCTCTCTCTCTCTCTCTCTCTCTCTCTCGCTCTCTCGCTCTCTCGCTCTCTCGCTCTCTCGCTCTCTCGCTTGCTCGAAGGGAAAGGAAACGATGAGCGAGCAGCCGACATCGCGATCGGCCGAGAAAACGAAGGACGAGGAAATCAACGCGGTGCGGCCGCGGCGTACCACGAGCGGCTGTCCTGCCAAGAGGAAGATCGTTGTTGGCGATAGCTCGCGTGCTGCGCCGGGCCTTCTCGCACACTCTGCATCGTTAAGGAGGAGCGTGTCCTGGTGTCCTGGCCGGCCGCGGCGTCATCGCCGGGCGAGCAGGTCTCGTAAGAGGACCACCTGGTCCTGACGGCTCGGCAGGCGAACGAGTTCCTGCGGGACTCCCACATGTCGACGCACCAGCACTAGTCGCTCCTAAGCGCTCATCACCCGCGACCACGTAGCGTCGAAGCACCAACGTCGGGCTCTCGATGTCGTCGTCGCGATCGGAATTACGTCGCGTCACGGCGTAATTAAATATCCGGAGCTGATCCGCGCGGCGCGGAAGAGCCTCGCGCGCTCGCCAGCTCGCTGTCGCTTTCACTGGGCTGAAAAGCAAGCAGGCAAGCGAGCGAGCAAGCGGCCGGGCAAAAGCAAGTAAGCAAGCGAGCTGCCAGGCAGCGCGCGCTGCCGTCGGACGGAAAACGGGGACAGGACGAGATAGGATGTTGGCGAGATACCGCCACTTCCTCGACCGTCCTGCCGCGCAACAGCAACGGCGGTGCACGGCCAGGCGAACGAGAGTGATAACGCGGTCGCGTCGCGTCGCGTCCGATGAAGCCGGGCGAGTGCGGGGAGATAACCGCCGAGGGGGGACAGGGGAGCAGATAAAAAAAACGTCGTCGATAATTTCCCGATGTTTTCACGAAATCGATGTTTTTTCGAGCGATCGCAGCGCGCCGATGATTACCACGGACCACGGGTCCGTCTGTCTCGCTCGCTCGCTCGGCCGCAAGGAAGCTCCACTTTCCCCTCTTCGTCGCGTCTTTGAACTGATGCACAAATTTCTGTTGTACGAACAAAAAATCTCTGGTAATTATTATCGGAACTGGGCTAATTTTAAGAACAATGCGTTTGTAATATTCCCCTCTTAATCTTAAAGGAATTCTCTTGAGGCCATATATAAGAATAAAATCTTTCAACATTTAGATGATTCCGCTTGTTCTGAAATTATTCTTTTTTTTGGCTGTGTCCGCCCGTTTTGATTGATATTTTAAACCTGAAGTTGCATCATATTCATTATTATGTTTCTCAGCGAGGTAACCTCCGCTGACACTCTCTTCCCGCTTTAATTTATTATTCTTCTGTTTCATGTCTGCTATTTACGCACTCGATCGGAAGGTACTGAGGTCTCTGCAAGGTCTAGCGACTGGTTTTTTCCGATTTTCGGCAGCTCTCAATCTTTACTTAGAAATCAGTAGAAGAAGATTAGTCAGTGAAATATTCTCCGTTGTTATCGACGACCTTACGCCACTTATTGGACACTTGCCGAATTCGCGATAAAAACTTGGTGAGAATGTGATGAAGCCTAGTCTGGAGAAGGCGCCGCGTAAGGGAGAACTTGCCAGTCCAAATATAAGATACTTTCCTTTGCGGCTTCCGCTGTATGCAGTTTAGCATTGTCGTACGACAGGATGATTTTACGGCTGCCTCGTTCAGTAAATGGCCTTCTTTTTTTCATTTGCATCGCTCAAACATATCGATTGCTCTTGGTAAATCTCTGCTTTAATAGTTTTACCCGGTTCCAATAGCACTGATGTGATCTTGACAAACAACTTAAAAAAAGAAAAAACATATTCTCAATATGGTTCGATTGTACTTCGTTTGTACCTGTTTGCACCACTTTTTGTTTCGTTTGTATCTCAAAAAATAAAAAAATAGGGGGAGGGGGAAAAATAGCCAGCAAGCAAGTATAAGATATCCGAAAACGGCCAACGCCATTCGAAAGAAAATCGTTTATATCCGTTTGTATCTCCCTTCAAATCGTTTGTACCTCAAAAGTACGAAAGTAACCTTCCGACATATTCTGAAGATCCTGTACTTCCGGTTCCTTTGAGGTACAAATGACTTGAAGAGAAGTAACAAACGGGTACAAACGATTCTCTTTCGAATGGCGTTGGCCGTTTTGCGATGTCTTATGCTTGCTTGCTATTTTTCCCCCTCCCCCTATCTTTTTATCCTTCGAGGTACAAATAAAACAAAAAATGTACAAACAGGTATAAAGTACGAAGTATAATCGAAATGTATTGCGAATTTTTTTTTTTATCAAGTTACTTGCCAGGTTCACACATCGGTGTCCGGTGGGGCTTGGAGATGATCGCGGAGCCGGCGGGGGAGGTCGAAGGGGAGAGTATCGCGGGATCTCGTCGACCTTTCGTCGCGCCCTCAAGCTCTCTCGAGCGGGCGGTATCGGAGCGCGTTTGGGGCGGTTTCGTCGGCCGGCCAGCGCATGCAGCCGTATATATGAGTCGCGAGCCGACCTTGCATACGACAATTACCGACCTAAGCTCGCGCTCGTGCGAGTTAAATATCGCTGCGGTCCGTGCGCGCGTCAATCAGTATTCGGCGGACGTTGCGGCTGCTGATAAAATTTACCTTTCCGGCGCGGCGCGCGCGCGCGCGCGCGGATATTATCGCTGGTGTGTTTTTCGCGAATTCTCGCGAAGACATCCACGAGGACGATGCGCTCCTGCCGCCGGCACCGCGAGGGGGGCCCGTCATGTCCCCGATTTTGCCGCACGTTTTGCTCGGGCCCGGAAACTTTTAGAGCATAAAGCGCGAGCCACATTGTGCCGGACGGAAGCTACGTCGAATTCCTGCTCCTCCTCCCGCTGACTCCCTCTTCCTTTCGCCATCTTCTCTCCCTCTCCCTCTCCCGGCCGGTAATAGATCAGGCTGTGTGTTACGTAAGAGCGGAATAAATGCTTTCCGCGGAGCATTGCCTCTCGGCTCCTCTCCTCCGAACAGGTGTTGCGGCTCGCGCCGTGTAAAACGCCGTGTAAATCTCAATCGCGGCGCGGGGCCGCGTCGTACGAAACGCTTTTTATTTCCAGCAATGCTCACGGAAGCGTTAACCGTTAACCTTTCACCAGACGCCGAATGAAATAATCGTCGTAGCGTGGAATTGCGCGTGGAAACTCCCTCCGAGAGAGCATCGCGCAATCGGCGATACCTCGACGAATCGCCGCACAGTGGTCAAAAAGGCTCTCTCGGTGGACAAATTAGTCTGGACTGCGTAACCGATTCTAATAATTTTTCTTTTAATTTGCTCGTTATGAATTGCTCCACAACTTTGTCGATTCACTTTTTTAAAGTAGAGCTTCAAATAAAAATGGCGGACTGAAAATGGTTATCAAAATATAGAAATTATAAGATATTAGATATTCTTGCATCGGAAAAAAATACATATGTGTTTTAGGAGTTTCTAATTGCATATCTGATGTCAAAATTTTAATTTCTTGCCACTTAAGAGGATCTGAAACGATCCGAAATGTTTTACGACTTTCTTATATCTTCATATCATTATCAGTACATTTAGATAACATCTTTGCTCACACATTAGTACATATTGCTCGCAAAAATATGTAAATTTCAAAATTTAGCTTGAAATTTACATATTTTAACAAACAATATATACTAATACGTGAGCAAAAACGTGATCTGAATGCACTGATAATATAAAGATATCAGAAAATCTTAAAACATTTCAAATCCTCTGAAGTGGCAAGAAATTAAAATGTGTGTATGTATATGTATGTCGCACAGGCAGAGATAAGGACCCCGTGGTTCGTCATTCCCACAGTATTTAGAGACTCCAAACTCTCTCTGCTCTTTGTGTACGTGTGTGTGTGTGTAATTTAATATAGCACATTCGTACGGTCTTTCAACATTTCTTCAGCCTCTGAATGAAAAGGTTTATGAACCTTCCTTACAACTTATCGGAGGCTAGTTATATAGGGATCCGACGAAAAAAATAAGGAATGCAATATATCTTTGTTTATATCGGTTCTTGAAGATTTTCTGCTGTGACTTGTACGGTACATCTTAAAATCTTTATTCCGTGCCTCCTGCTCTCTAAAAGTGAATCAGTGAAACTCACAGTCAATCAGTGCATAATCGCTGATTGACAGTGAGTTTCACCGATTCACTTTTAGAGAGTGGGCTTCTTCAGATAATTTCTTATAGTTTCTATATTTTGATAACCACTTTGAGTCCGCCATTTTGATTTGAAGCTCTACTTTAAAAAAGTGAATCGACAAAGTTGTAGAGCAATTCATAACGAGCAAATTAAAAAAAAATTATTAAAATCGGTTAACAATTACGCGGTCCAGACTAATTTGTCCACCGAGAGAGCTTTTTTGACCACTGTGCGCCGTCGTGAGAATCGCTCGCCAAACGGATTTTGACTTCGCGTAAGATAAACGTTCCAGTGGCCGAATATGTGCCAATATCCGACTACTTTGAAAAAAAAATATTTCTTTTAACAATAACGAATGAAAGTAATAATTATTATAAAAAGAAACTCCAATATTTGACGATCGGTTGAAGAAAAATATTCAATTTGATACTTTTATATTAAAATATAAATTAATTAAACAAATATGCACCTATGGTTTGGCAAAAGAATGGTCCGTTAATAAATTCTTCAAGAGACAGCATCTATATTTATATTATTTCCCGTTAGCATATACTAATTTTATAATTGCGGTCAAACATTGGGACAAATTATCTCCCAACATTGAGCCACAACCTATTTCTGCTGTCATTGATACATTGATCCGCTTCATTATTTATGTATAAATATTTCATTAATAATAGATATATACATTGGTTTAAATCATTTTTTTCTACTTAAGGGAATCTCGAGTTCTCGGATAAATGCAAAAATATTTGCATAAAAACTATTCTTAATATTATATATTGTATTATTTGTAATAATATATTGTAATATTTTTTGTGACGACCTACGCTTAAATGTCTGATTACTGAAACATTTACTTTAGGCAGCGCGATCGCGACGCGGTTTCCCGCTGAGGTTTTCACGCCGGCGAAGAGCGGCGAGTTTGAGCGGCGGTAAATTTGCGGAAATGAAGTTTGCGAGTCGATTCGTAACGGGAAACGAGACTCGCGCAAACTCGTCGCGCGACTTGTTTGAATTTATTTATTATTTACACGCGGAAACGGAAACGGAATCACGTCTGATACGGATACACGCGTAGCCGGACGGAAGTTGTAAGCTCAAAGAGAGAAAAAAAATGTATCACGAGCGACAAGATGTAATCGAAATTTGACGGCTGAGAGAAGGGAGAGGAGAGAGAAAGAAAGAACACGAGTCGAGCAGCGTCTAAGAGTGAATTAAAGCAGTCAAAATTAACGTCGAGCAAAGCGTGATTGTGCGACAGGAGAAGGATCGACTGATCGGTGCGTATTGTTGAATAGTGAATTTTAATTGATTCCGATTAATTTGGATTCGCTGGTTACTTTAGTCGAGCGGGATTTCAATAGATTAATGCCTGATGCTGATAAGCACACGGCTCGTGTTTAATTAAATCTGCCATACGCGCTGCGATGAAATTTCACACGACACGAACAAAACGCTCTGGGTGGCACGTGAGGCCTAAACGTTCTGCAAGTTTTCAGAACGCCAAGTACAACGGGGCATTGCAGGTGCAGATAGTGC